TCCAACCACTCTTCTGCGGCTTGTTGAGTCTTCTCCATTTCAAGTATTTTTATCTTTATCAGAATCTCGAGGAATCCGATGAGCTTAGAAGCTCTTTTTGACAGTAGTTTTACTCACACGTGTGTCGCGCGGCCAGGATTAAGCACATTCCTCCCCCACGACACACACACACGGGTGCTGTAGCGTCACCGGCACTCTCACCATGGCAAGTAAGAAAGTCGCATGTCCGAACCGAACGTCGCATATCCGCCGCTCCTGGACAAGTAATCGATGACCTCCAAAGACAAATATCCCCCGTGTAGGCTTAGCAGATCGTAGGAGCAAGTGCTGTTAGCGAGTAGCACCTATGAAGTTCGACACTGTACAAGAGCGGATGGCCAGCACCACGCCTCTGCCGCCTTTGTCTCCCAAAGTTGCGATGTTTACAAACCGCACCAGGCACTCATTTTGAGGCTGAGTCGACCTAGGGGAGGCCTATGCCACCAGTGTTGACCGTGGGTGGGAATCGAACCCCGGTGGCCGGGTTTGAGCACTGCGTGCCAACCGCTGCACGAACGCTTCCCACGTGTTGTAATCTCACGTGCTATAGTGCACGGGTGATGTGTTCTGTGTTTTCGCGCACGCCCATTGTACTCGTAAACACGACTCTTTGTCCGGCATTAACTTTTTTGCCCGGTAGCATGCGTGTGTGCGTGCGTGCGTGTGCTCAGTCACCGACGAGCTCACGAACAAAGGTGGCAATTGTTCTGAAACGTGGCCGATTCTATATTCCTCCTTTTCAGGCCGCAGTGCGGATGTTGGGATGACGCTCAGAACATCTGGATATGAATAAAACAATAAAAAAATTACTCAACACACTTGTCAACAGCATCGCCTTAAAATAAATATATAAGAGGAAACATCTTCATAGCACATGCCATGAATAAGGGCCGTTGAACAACAGGAACGTCGTCAATGATATGATTTTAATATATGATATTATAATGATTATATGATTTTCTTTAAAGGCAACACGGTGTTGTTGATGGATGCGTTGAGTTCATTTGTTAAGTGTGTATGTGTGGCGAAATAGTGGGGAGCGGTGGTGCAGCGGTTAGCGCGCTGCGCTACGAACCCGGCGACCCCGAGTTCGATTCCCGCTCACGGCCAACACCGGTGACGATTAACTGAACCGGTCCTGGGCCTCCCCTAGATCGACTCAGCCTAAAATGAGTACTTGGTGCGGTGTGCAAATATCACCACTGGGAAGACAAAGGCGGCCGGGCGTGGTGTTGGCCAACCACCCCCTCGTGTGCCGTGGCCGGCCTTCAATAGGTGCTCGCTAACAGCACTTGCCCCAACAGTCCGTTCAGGCGATCCGAGGGATCTTTGTTTTTGTTTGGCACCACTATGTTTTTTTTAAAATAGATGTTCACAAAACCCACCCTGTACATATTTGCCTACACGCAGTGATGGGCAATTAAACTAAAAAGAGAGAGAGACATTTTTTTCTAATTCGGTAAAAAAAAACAATATTTCAAGTACCGAATAGAACCAAAGATTATGGATCCTTGCAGTCACGAAAGCTTCAAATCTAGAATATTTCAAGTGCCGAACAAGTGCCGTGGGTAAATACGAGACGGTGGTGGTCCCTTAACAAAGGACGGTCACGAAAGGGTCACTTAAAGAGGCCGTCACGCGGCTCCAGAGTCGCGTGTTTGCCGACTCCTGGGCCTATTTACCCCACAGCCCACTGCGAGTCGGATATGCGACGTGGTACCGTGCAGGCAAACTCTCGATCGCAATCGAGAGTTTATCCGGAGCAATCGCGAGGTTGGGGGTGGGGTGACCCAGAATAAACATGAACACGGATAGCGGAACACGTGTGTCAATTACGGATTATACCTACGGCGGAATTCAGTCGATTGCGTTTACTCTGTCCTAAGAGCCATCGGAACGAGAGAAAAAAAACCTCAACTCGTTCGGGTCAATACCTCTGTGCGCATGGCCTTAAAAATGGGGGAAAATATATAGAACAGGCAACGTTTCAGGCAACCGCCCTTCTTCGTAACACACGCACCTGTGTGTGTTAACCATTTCTAACGTGCTATAAAGAAGAGCCGTTGCTCATGATATGCATTTCCCCCCCCGCCCCCCCCTCTAAAGACCACAGTGTAATTAACGAACTTGTCGACTTTTAATTTGTGCTCACGCACCACTGCCAAAACAGCAGCAGCAGCGGCGGCGCCAAATAATTTGTTTGCGGCGACAGGGGCGCTCGGGTTGCTATCCTCGGAGGCTTAAAATACCGGGGCACATGTCACGGGAAGAATAATCTCTCACGATATGGGAAGAGGGATGGTGGGGGGGGGGGGGTAGGCAACGACACGTAAAATATGTCGTCTTCAGTAGTGTATTCCTACACAGCTGACAAAACTACGGGACTTGTCACGTCCCGGGAAGACTTGCAGAAGACTTTCCCCAGCCTTACCGACCTCGAAAAGAGGAGATCCCTGGGGAGAAGCAGGACCGGGTGGCAACCCGAGTGGACAAAGATGCGTCGGGATGTGTTCAGTGTTCTCGCGAGCTCGGCTAGCCTGCACCCCCGTAATTAATCCGCTCACGGATAATCGAGAGTTCACGAAACGACGATTACCTCGGGCCCAAGCGAGCAGTTTCGATCGGGCACCGCCGCTCGTCTGGCGGGAGACATCGCAAAGGTAAAAAAAAGTGGTGAATCGAAATAAAGTAACACCGACGGGCTTAGATTTTTCGACGCTCGTCAAAGAACGACAGGAATTGCAACAAACAAAAAAATGAAACATGATCTTGATGTGTGTTTTAAAGTGTATTGTGCTACAGGGAATGATTTTGGGAAGCTGTAAGATAAATTAAACTGGTGTCATTTGTTTTTATTTTGTAACCGACGACAAAGCTGAATATTGTTTGTCAATGGAATCTAATTTAAAAAAAATTTAATATGTAAAATCAATAACAAGTGAGTGTATGTACAGGACTGCGTTCCATTTTGACGTTTACAAAAATTGTTGCCACTCAATAATGGATTTTGGACTGCAGAAATAAGCTTTAGAAAGCTATATACAACAAGAGGCTAATGGGTGATTATTTTTATATTTTTTATTTGGTAATTTATATGATTTAAAAAAGCACATATATTCACGGCACCCCGATCCATAAATACACACGAAAACTACATTCGATTTTTCTTCTTATTCAGACCAAAATATCGTCTCCATTACATCCCGGTATCCAAAGTCACATTTTAAATATTGTAGCTGGTCACGGAAAACAATGGTTTTAAAAACCACGTTACGTAATTATAATAATGTAAAATATTTATCCAGGAAAGCCTCGACTGAGTCTCATGACTCGCCGTTTTTTTCAGGAGGCTCCCGCTACATTGGGATATTTTGCCCTAATATCATTCGTGAGTGGGCTCCACGTGGGAGGGAGGCAGAGAGGGTTCCAGAAAACCCGGAGAAAACCCACCAATTTCAAACCCACCAAGCACACGTAGGGGGGTGGGGGGATTGATACTCGTCGCTGAAATGTCTCATCACCACAGACCTCCGCAGCCCCCCACGGCCGCGTCAACCTGTCAGGCCCTCCCCCTGGCGGTGGTCACCCACCCAAGTAACTTTAACCAGGCACAACCTCTGCTTTGGGTCTCCGAGAGCCGACATGATCGGGCACAGACGTGGCGATGGAATGATCGTCTCGACCAGGAGTGAGGAAAAAAAACGCCTCCCCCTCTCTCTCTCTCTCGAGTAGCCACCATTGCAAAGGTTCAACGTAAACAAAGCCACGCGGTCCAGTTTAACAGGCTGCAGATCGTTATTAAATGGAAATTTCGAAATGGCGGTAAACATGTTCACAAAGTGTCAATTATAGCCGTTAACCGGCAATTTTAAGTTCAGCACTGAAACAACACGAGTACTGTCTAAACTCTTACAGATAGCCGATATATGAACACGTCAGGCAGAGATGACAAAATTATAGATTTAGCAAAACAATTAAAGTGTTTCTCAACAATATATATGTATTTTTATAGATATATAATTTTGTATTCTCGTTCGTTTTTTTCATTTTCCGTCACATTTATGCAAAACTCGCCATCACGGGAACAAATGCGCGCGTCTCTGCCCCGCGTGTACAAAAACACATTGGAGACATTTGTCACATCATCCACGCCACGGACGCTCCTCGCGGACAGCAAAGGCAACTCCTGACAAATCGCCACCTTTTCAAAACGTCTCCATTTACACAGCAAAACGGCAGAGATATTTCCTTCGTTCTGTCCTTCCGTGCCCGGAGGAGACCACCCCCACCCCCTCCACCACCACCACCAACACCCAGCCACCCACCACAATGCACACACGGCGACACAAACACTCGACGGTTGGTTTAGTCCACCAGTTTGGATGGCTCTGGAAAAAGGTGACACGCTGCTCGCGAGCGACCTTACTTTTTGCGTCCGATGCAAATCCGTGGGACGGCGGGAAGAAGCAGAATGGGAGAGAATTCTACTGGGGGGGAGGTGTGGGGTGGGGAGAGTTTGTGGATCCGCTCGTTCGGTCGTTTCGTTCGCCTGTTTTGCTCGCCTAGCTTCGGTCAGCGACGGATACCGAAGCGAGTCGGTTTTTTTTGCGCGGCCGTGCAGGGCGCCGTGACACAACTGACCACCCAACCACCACCGTCGCCTGTCGCATCACGATCTTAAAACGTATCGCAAGAAACGAAGCAGCACATTCCGATTGTGTCCTCAGGCAAATATATTTTTTTTCCACCGGCAAAATTCCAAATTTGGTTGTTTGAAAACCCGACGGTCAAATAATTCCATGGTTTGTTTTTGTCGTTCCGCGCAAAGCATCCAGAGGGCATCCCGGCCGGGCGACCTTCCCACGCCAACAAAGACAGATCTTCGGGGGTTCTTTTTCCTTCGGTCGTGGGGTTTTTGTGTGTTGTTTTTGGTCCTGCTTAACCAGTGGTCAAACGTTGTGGTTTTTCTTGCTAATTCACGACACGTGTCCCTGCGTCTCCTTGCCCCTAAATGCGACAAATCATAGAACGGCCGCCGTGTTTTTTTTTGTGTTCCAGCTTTTAAAATCTTGGTCTGTAAGAGTGAAGCGACACGATGTAAGTTATTATTATTAGTTGTTGTGGGATTTTTGCGCGTGTTTGGTAAAGTTCCAAAAAGTGATTATCACCATTTAACGAAGGGAAAAGTGCCAATCGGACAAAGTCCTCTATGGTGTGGTGAAGGTCAAAGGGCATGGTTAGACAGTGGTAGATCGCCAGGTTGCTCCCGTACAGTCTGATTCTTCATAC